GGCGCGGGCACCGAGGTGTGCAGCGAGCCCGCCTTATCCATGGGGGGCTGCTCCTCTACGGGACGAGTCTAGCGCCCGCTCGGCGTGCTCTGCCTCTCGCCCGCACCCGGCGGCGGCGGCGGGATGGCCTCGGCGTTGTCCCCGTGGCGGCCGGTCCCGGGGGATGCCGGCGGCTGCATGTGCCCGCAGCGCTGCGGAGGTGCCGGGGTCGGGCGGCGAGAGGCGGCCCCTCTCATCCTTCCTCCCCCATGGCTCCGCCGCCTCGTCCCCGCCGCCTTCCCCGGCGACACCCCCGCTGCCGGCGGCTCCCCCGGCCCGCCTCCCCCGGTACCGCCGCTACGCCGGCCCTCTCCTCCTCTTCCTCCTCCTTCTCGCCGCGTTCTGGGTCTTTCCTCGAGGATCTCATCCAAAAAGAGGAGGCGGGAGGGATTCCCCGCTGGAAGCATTAGGATTCATAGCGGCGCTCTGCCTCGTCCCGATCCCTTACAGAAATAGCTGCTAAAAGGAAGAGGCAAAGCCGGGCTCCGGGAGATTAAAGGGGCCGATAAGAAACAGCTGGCTTGCAAGTTGGATCTCGCAGTGTACATTTAAAGGAAGAAATCCAGCTAATCTGCTGTAATGCGTTTATAGTACATCTGCTGAATAAAATACACCTGCCGCGGCCCTGCTACGCCTTGCCCTCTGCAGGAACAGCAGCCCCGCTCTCACACGGAGGGGCTGGTTACGAAACATAAACCTTTTTGCCTTTTCGGAAGAGCCTTTGATAATTGCCGAGCAATATTCAAATGAATTGCAGTTTAATGAAAAGCAGGCTCCGGTGCGGCCAGTTCAAGGAGCTAAAACTCTATTTTAGCAAGCCGCTTCATTCCAGACTTTCCGTAATCTGGTACTCGTTTTTAATTAGTAAATTGCATTAAAAGCAATGATCCTGCCACCCTGCCAGGGTCTGAGCCTGAACTGTGTTGACATGTGATTCTGATTTAGCTTCTGAGCAGGAGGTTTTACACCTCCATCGTTTTATCTGCAGCACTTGGTGTTCCTTTGAAAGTCTAGGCGGTGGAAATGCGGCTGATGAGATTAATGGGACAAGTAAACCCGATAAGAACCAAGAGTTAAAAAAAAAACCAAACAACCCACCAGAACACAGGGAAAAGCTCCCCACTGTCTCATATTAGAACTATCAGCTTCAATTCCTTTATTAATAAGTATGAAAATAATTCCTAGCTTATTGCCCCTGGGTTCCAAATCTTTTTAATGATAGATGGTTCATAAGTAGGGAATGAAAAAATATGCCCAGCAGTGTTAAATTTGACACCATTATGCTTCCCAGTGATTTGTCGTGTCATTGTCTTAAATTAGCAGGATGATCATAGGTTTCGAAAAATTAAATAGTAGTAACATAAAGGATTTTAACTAAGTTCATTAGCTCAGGATCTTCACACTGTCTCATTTGTCCTTTAACACAGACTATGGGAAAGATTTGTTAGGCCTCTTTCCCGTGCCTCCCTCCCAAAAATCAGTATTTCAGGAAAATAACATGAAGTCACATTTGGTTTTCATTTACTCATACTAACATGGGAGGAAAGAAGAGACCCACGGAACTGTTCAAACAGACTTTAACGCTACATCCTTTAGAATTATTTTTTAGTAATTTCTCTCTGCCATAATGAAAGTTTTCTGAGGAACCAACACTGATTGGTTTTGCTGATGTTAATTAAAACCAGTAAACTGTAAGAACTTTTTTCTTTTATAATGATATGCAAAATTTTTGCATTTTTTAACTATTGTGAAATCTAACAGGACTAATAAACTAAATTGGTTTAAACCTGATTACACATTCAGTCAGTTTGGGATGTGTCTTTGTGGTGCACACAGAGAACATGACTTTGGAATAATTTAGCTTCTGCTGTACTTTACACAGTAGGGGTGCCTTAGTAGAGTTCGACTTCCCCTCTTCTGGTAATTTTAGTTGCCTAACTTCTTCTTAACATACACTTGTGTAATACTCTTGCATTTTGGCTTTTTGAGGCCTCTTCTCCCATAACCTTCATAAAATTTCACAGAACAAAGAAAACCCCAAACCAGCCAACTCCTTTCTTCACTGGTGATTGTAGGCAACGTGGCTCATGGAACCGAGTTGAAAATACAGATTCCCCAAAGTTAGTAAACCAAAGACTGGCATAAAAAATGAGAAAATGAAAAAATTTCAGCTGAGTTCAGCTCTGGTCATCATCAGGTAAAACCTGATGGTTCTTCAGCCTTGCAAGAGAATGAGAAAACTGTATGGGCATGTGGATAGAGGAGAAAAGGGTGGAAGGAGACTTGATATAAGTGCGTGCCCACTGTAAATCATTTCCCTGTGGAGTAGAGTGGGAGAAAGTCATTTACAGGCTTTTAAAAAATGGTATTTAAATAATCAAAACATGAACTCACCAGCTAATCCTAGAGGTGCTCACGTTTTCACCTGTAATTTCCCACAGACACCTCAAGCTCTGACACACCTGGGGACACCTCAGCCTCGTCTCTGCTGAGCACTGTCACCATGTAACTCCACCAGCCTCCCCAGCAAAGGTATTTCTCACTTTTCTTTTTCTCTTGAACATTCCCAATGTGTCTTGCTGAATCTCCCGTGGGAAGTATGATGCTGCTTTCTTTTTACTCTCCTGCTCACTTGCCAAGGGTGAGGCTGTGGGAATTCTTACCCACATCCTTCATTTCTGAGGCTGGTCTTCCTCCTCTCAGGAATTTCAGACAGAAACAGTAAATGAAAGTTTTGAGGCCAGAAATTTAACAAACATGCACAGAGACATTCCCTCAAATAGCCTGCAGCCTTGTGCATCCTTCTGTGATGTGGAAACTGTGGTAAGAGCTGAAAATGGGAAGCATCAGGCCCCATTTATAAAAGGAAGTGCTTTTGGTTGTGCCTACTGTAAATATTTGTACACAGCAAACCCTTAACTCCTTAGAAGCGAGCTAGCACCGCCACACGTACAGAAACGATGGCTTAATATATGCAGTGGTAGGCACTCATACACCACCCCCTCTCTGTCTTAATTTAGTTCACAAAATTTCAAACGTGTAAGTTTAAAAGTCTGATCTGTTTGTTTATACTGCTATATTAAGGATGTTATCCAAGGCTTTTAAAAAAAATAATACTGTCAATAACAAAGCTGATAAAGAAATCATTAGTACTGACCTACCTAGCCCCTTTAAAGAAATACCTATTATCTTTTCACTGGAAAATAATATTTTTATGACGAGCTAATTTTGAAGGTGCCAGCAGGAACAGAGCAGTCATAATGTAAACTCTAGAGCTCTCTGGTGTTGCTGTAGCAGAGGGCAGGGGAAGCAGAAGGTCTTACATTACAGCTGGTGTCGACTGACTGAGGAAATGGCCCTCAGGCGTTGCTTTAATTCCTACGGATTCCTCTCCCGTTTCAGATTGAAATTGCATGCTTACAGGGTAAAAGTTTATCCTAATAACGTTGTCCTAATAACTTTTTGTCGACCCGTCTCTGCGTCTTCCAGCTGACATCAAAAAATTTTAAAGACAGCTGAGGTAGCACGGGGTGACCCTGACATTTCTGCCGTGCCAAACCGCATTTAAATATCCCTCGGATGCCTGAGAATTTCCAACACACCAGGCAGAGACCTTTGGTCCCCTTTTTTGTTAAGACTGAAATGATTCGCCAAAAAAAAAAAGGAAAAAAAAAAAAGGCAAATGAACTTGGAGCTTTTCTTCTGCTGCCATTTATCAATTGTGCTGCCTGCAGGTAATCTAGGAGAGAGCAGATGCTGGCGCTGGGAGCATTAGGCAGAGCGACAATGGAACCATTAATAGGGAGCAGCTTCTGAGTGCTGGGGCTTATCCAAAGTGGCCTCTGTCACATGTCCACTTTAACTTTCCAGAACAGGTTTATTTTTAGTCAGGAGAATTGTCGGAAGATAAAATGGATGTAAAGGCGAAGTGCATTACCATTACATCAGCTTTGGGGATGAGGTTGGGACTCGGTGCGTGTGTCGGAAAGGTCAGCTTCTGCTCTCATTTGTCTCTCTGCAGCTCTTCTGAAGCTGATGAACTGCGTAGGTGTTAGGCTAGAATATCACCCCCGGAGTTTAATAATCATATAGGACTGTGTGAATCCGAAAATGGTATTTAATCTGACAGTTTGTAAGCCTTGCATGATACACTTGCTCTCCATGCTTATGCTTTAAAAATACCTTCCCACACCGCTTCACATGAACGATTAACTCAGACTTTATTTATTTCCTCAAGAAAATATCTTAGTCACATCTCAGAGAAGTGCCAGATTAGAATTAGGTAATATGCCTGAGGTATATATATATAAAAAAATAAGTATTCTGTTAAAGAACAATGGTATCGATCTTCTGTACCACATATTCCCTTCCCCTAGCCAGGACATGCAGTCTTTATCTATTAGGATGCAACTTGTGTCATTCACAGAGTTGTAACAAGGACATTTGACGTCAAACAAAGATCAGTGAATAACTTCCTTAAGAGCTGCACCTGCTGCTGAACAGAGAAATGTGACACTTGGAAAAGTTGCTTTGTGGTTGGCTTTTGGTTTGTGGGCTTTTGGGTTGGGTTTGTTTTGTGGTTTTTTTAAATATCAGGATCCAAATGAAGACACAATATTAACAAGAAAATAGAATTCTTAGAGTTTACCTCAGTTCACGACCTTGTGAATCTGCCTTACTGTATGATGAAGCTCAAACACAATTTTATTAGTTAAGCATTAACCACCTCTGTTGACTCTAAGGGATTGGCTTAAGACTTCTGGAGACAGCATAAGCTAAAAAAAGCCTCAATTAAGGCTACAGTGGAAAAGAAAAAAAAAAGTGCAAACTTATATATCTCAATTTGTGGAGAAGACGATAAAGAGCAATTAAAGTATTTTTTCTATATAAATAGTTCTATATAAATAGTTTCTATATAAATAGTTCTGCTGTTTTTAAAAGGATTGTATGAATCTTCCAAGATGAAACTTCCAAGAATTGCCAGTTTTCGCTTAGCCATGTTGCCAGCTCTTGACAACAGCACAGGTCAAGAAGCCAAGACCACAAGAAATCAATCAAAATCAGAAGGTGAGTTAAGCATAGATGCCACAGCTGATGCAGCTTCAGAAAGGGAAGAGATTTCAACCCATTCTAGTTAGTCTGACTGTTGTCCTACAAGGTGTGGCATTAATATGGAAATACATAACAGGTAACGCTGTTCATACATTCCAAGGTGAAATGAAGAACCTGCCAATAAAAAAAGAACACTGTATGGGGAACATGGAAGATACGAAAAATCCAGCAGCTGTAAGGCATAAAAAGATCTGAATGGCTCTGAATCTTTGACTTTAGGTCTTCACAAGTACTTCCACCTGCGAAAGATGCCACTCCCAGGGACACTTCAGACCCTTCTTGATAGAATTACAAAAGCTGTTATCTCTCAGAAGATGCTTAATGGTGCTTCAGCTGAGATTGCTTCCCATAGGCACAGAGCAGAAGGGTGAAAAAGGAGCTGACATCGTGAATGATGAAGTCAGGGGACAAAAAAATAGAAATTCATGAATCGTGGCTTATCTCAAGCCAGACAAAGGTCTCACTCCTGCAAGAAGGCCCTGGGCAGTTACGCTGCACCGTGCTCTTCCATCAGACAAAGGTATTGCGACTGCTTCTAATCCTATTGCTTTACAAAATAAGAGTTGCATGTCTGTACACAGATTCTGCATACAAACCAAAACCAACATACAAAACGTGCTGACATCCAGTGCTCTTTACCCTGTAACATCAGGAACAGAAATGCTGAGGTCAAGGAAGGAAACGAATCAAAAAATGCAGGAGGTTCTGCTGCTTTCTGGACTATCTCCCTTAGCAGTCAGCCACGTTCCAGGGGCTGCCCTGCCATCTAGACTGACCTAACATTTCTATATTGTAATTTCATGCTTCTTTTAAAGCTTGTTAGACCATGAGAAAACAATAAAATTTCCCTATGAGCAATGTGGATATTTGCAGTTTTTGTAGATGCTATTAATAGCATCATAAGCTGATGAACACCAATTACTTTCAGGTAGGTTTAGTTTCTTCCTGACCATAAGATAGATCCATTAGAGCCTTAAATAGCTTATTCTGGGGATGAAGTGCAACCTCTTCATTGAGATTCTCTCTGAATGACTACGGTAGCCTCGCACGGTAATTAGGTATGTGATGATGCTGAGCACTGAAGCAATGCCTAACTTTAGGAACATTCTGAAATCCATGCCTACCCTGCAAGGCATTTAATAATATTCTTAATTTACACGGCGCTAAATCCTATTGAACTTCACAAACAAACATTTGCATACGTTCCTTGCTAATTTGGCACCTAAAAGAAATGGAAACGACCTGGAAAGCAGGGAGTGGTGGGATTGACAGTTATTTACAATTATTTTTTCTTACTCTTTGTTAAATAGATTCATTTTTTAATCCTGTTAGTGTGCTCTTTGCTTCTTTCTGTTTAATATGTATTCTCTGCTTTCTGATATTCACTTATTCATCTTTTATCTCATACTAAATGAGGGACTTCCAGATGAAGTGTTCTTTTTGCTTTTTCTTTGACACAAAAGCAAGTAAAATCACAGCCTTTCCGCAGACACACGGGTAACTCCAATTCACCATTCAGGACAGAGATTCATTCCAGCTTACCCTTTCCCTCTTTTGATGCTTTGATAAAAATTCAAAATAGGGAAAGAAAATACCAGTGCAAGGCTCCCAATAGCATATGGTTTCCACTTTAAATCAGATGGAAGAATTCAATGTCTTTTTAGATTTATTTCTTTACTAATAAACATGTGCATGAATGTAGTTTTTAGCAGTTTCCTGGCATCAGTTTATTAATAAATGTGTTTGACTTCAGGTATGTCAACATCAGAGCTAAAGAATAATCATCTTATAGAGGCACAGTTTAGTTAAAATAGGTGATATATATTCTATGTATCTAAATAATCATGTGGTTATTCCCTTAAAAAAAAGGGAGGATGACATGGCTTCATCTCTTCACCCAACACTCACGTGAAAGACCTCTAGAGAAGAACGCAGGAGCTGAGTGCTGGTGTTAAATAACAGCTCCAAACAGTTGGCTTGGTCTCCTAATACAAATTCTCCTGGGAATTGCTTAGGGAAATCTGGAAATCTTTTAGAATGCTCATTGGTATAGAAAGTACGTTACGATTCTTTAAGAAGTATATCATTAAGCAGGGTGGCACCTCAGCTGGAGGTGCAGAGTGTGGGAGTTGTGGCACTGGAGGTTACAACAGGGACACCATTTTTCTGGCAGGAAATGTGATTTTCCAAGCGAGGGTGGGTCTGTGCTGGAGGGAGGAGTGCCACCTGCTGAGCAGCCAACAAAATAGGAAACGGCACAAGGAAAGAATTACCGACTTCTGCATTCCCTCACTCTTCCTGGAGAGCAAAAGCTAAACATTTCCATCCAAAATGAGTCATTTTTTGTACCTGTTGGTATTTTTTTGCAAGTCAAGGGGGAAATTTATACAGAGCCTATTAAAAAAATTATAAAGATCTATTAAAAATAGGTTATTATATTTGATCTTATGATCTATGTGCATCTTTTACCTCTTTCACTACTCAGGATATCTGAAAATCTCAGCTGATGACTCTCTGGAGTCAAGCTCTCTCCCTGGTTTCCAGGAAACACAGTTTTTTTGTTGTAGTAATTTGTCTCAACTGCTGTTCAGTTCTGGTGCGACACGTACACAGAGGCACTATCACTCCGACAGACCAGAGACACCCTCCAACATACCCTTCTCTTCCCTTCTTTGTACCCTTCCCCCTGTGGCAACATATTTTCTAATCCTGTTTTCCATATTTAGATATAAAATACAAGCTCTACAAAAGAAGCATCCGTCACAAATAGTCCCAGCATAAATAAATCCATATATACTCATTGCAGTCTCATTTTCCACTAAATAGAAAAATTAAAACATACAGGTGTCTATGAAAAGAGTAACATGTTTTGTAGTCCAGAAGATCATCTCTCCCATTCAGACAACTGAAAACACTGTGAAACAACTGAAAAATGAACTGCATTGCCAATTAACAGTAAGTAAAGCCAAATTTGTTTGTTATAGTGATTATAAATTGCAGCCATTGCGTAAATTCTTTAGGACTATAGAAAAAAATGTTTAAAGTTGCAGGGAAAACTAGAAACTTTATTTCGAGGTTTTCCAGTGTTTCATGCCAGGTGAGATTTTTGCTGAGGTTTTGGAAACTGTGAAATCAGACAGATTAGACACAAGTTTTACTACAACCTGATACAAGATCATATTCCTAAGAATTCGCAGATTATTGCTACGATACCTCTAGCAGATGACCAGAAAAGCTGCCAACTAAAGGCCTAGAACATAAAGAAACAAATACACGACAATTAAACCATCATAAGGTTAATTAAGTTTTGTGCCCTTGAATACACTGGGTTCTTCTACCACAGGAAACAGCAGCTTCTTGTTTACGTGTAAATTCTCTCAAGAATAAAGCCATTCCCGTTCAAGGAAAGGAAATAAACTTCAGGGCTAGATCAGCTAGAAGTGCTTCCTGCAGTCAAGGTGCCAAAACAAAACAAGGGAACAATCTGAAAATACAATGATGGAACACCTGAAAGTTTAATTAACATTTTCTCCCCTTTTGTTTTAAGTTCAAACTGCCAAAGGACTGATTCCAGAGGACTCACTGTCAAATCCTGGAGCCAGAAAATCTGCCTCTCTCTTTAATTCCATTGTTTTGACTGCAAACAATCAGCTTGCCAGCATGCAATTTCTTTAAGTGAAGGAAATTCAGGAACTAAACGCAAACTGGCCAGGGATGCTTTCACTGCCAGCAGAAGTAGTGCCTTCTCAGCAACAGCAAACAAGAAAGTAGTTAAAAAATACATGAGGCTTCCCTTCAAAACAGCCATTATCTTCTTCTCAGTCCGTGCTCAATGAAGAGTTGAAGTTTGTCCTGCCTTTTAGACTCTCTACCATTTGTGAAAGTTTCATGAAGATCAGTCTGTCAAAGTATCTTGCTTTTGTCCATAGGCCAAATCTGTTCTGAATAATGAAAAGCCTGGAATAACCCAGCCTGAACTAAGCAGAATCATCCCTGCAACAGGACTAGGGCTGTCACTGCTGAAAGGACAGTCAGCATCTCACACATTTGGCTCTGTCATAATTTTAAATGCTTTGAACAGGAATTTAGTTTCTAGATGCTTATGAGATACTCCCCCCTGGAAATCCCTTCTGTATTTTGGTACCACGGGGGCTGAACACTGCCCCGTGCAAATACTCACATCCAGCCCTGCTGGAATGCACCCAATTCCGCACCAATTCACACCTACACACGGGTTAACTTACAGCAGAGAACCTCTCCAATGGATTTGTTTCAGGTTTATGAAATGTAGCATTTTGACATTCTGATTACATTTGTGTTGTGAGCTTAAACTTCCTGGGATTCACTGAGAAGCAGGACTACACAGGAAAACTTCTGCAGCCTCTGGAGATCAAGGACTGACATTATAACACAAGTCCTAATTTACAAAATCTCTACCAAGTCAAAAGATACCGAGCTTTCAAAAGGTAAGATGTTCAGGACCAAGGGGTGGTACTTGCCAATAGGCACTGAATACCCCACCCGTGCCCCCTCCTAGCCATTAAAAGAGAAGGCAAAAGTGGATTGAAGGTAACTTTATTCCAAAATATGTACAATTTACAGGATGAAGTGCTTCATTTGTGAACAAAACGTTTCAATACTTGAGAATAACTTACTAGTAGCTTTATGTAACATATCAGTCTCCAACAGAAGGAAATATGAGACAGTATTTTGGCACAAGGTTTTCTCTGCATGCATTAATATATTTAAAAGTTTCACAATGACTAGGACAACATTCCTTCTTTGGGATTGTCACTTGTAAAATAGGTCTAAGAAACGAACGCTTGCTTTTGTCTGCTCCTTGCAAGCTTACTGGCTTAAATAGCAAGAATTAAACACGGACATCCTTTGAAAACTAAATTTGTCCACTAAATCAAAATCCCACCAGTGATGAGAAGAAAAATATTTTAAGGACATTTCTTAGCCTTATTAACTCACACATTCTTTGGGAAATACTCACCCAGGAGATTTATTACTCATACATTCCAAATAATTACAAGTTTAAATTAGATCATAATCAGGTGCTGAATTCCGTAAGCTGAAAAAATATATGGCTATCTTTCATAGCTGGCTTTCTCAAAGATGCACTTGCAAATACCAGTAGGCAGCAGCACTGTCAATGGAGCCCTGCATGCAGGCGCCTGAAGCGTGCACGTAAAGCCTTAGTTGTTGTGAAATGCAGGTTCACATCACCACAAGTCATCTATTATATTCCATTGCCTGTTACTTGGAGGATACTGCCATCAAGCCAGTGTATGAAAAAGCATCAGAAATAAAGGGCTTCTGTTACTGAACTCAGCAGTTCCTCCAGGAGTTTCGCTGTCTCAGGCTGTCCCACTGCATTGTCAGTGAAGCGGAAGAGTCACACGCACCAACAGACGTACCCTCAGCCCGACTGCAGGGCAATGCAGAGCTGAACGACGTGGATCCTTGGGTCTGGTTCATTGCATAGCAATGGCATTTTAAACAACACAAGTCACTCACGCTCTGAGCAGCAAATCCTTCCAGCACATGTTTAAATTCACATCAGCTGATATAAAAAATAAAACCAAAACAACAAAAGGAACAGAAGATGGACGTTTGCACCATGCGTTGAAGCTTGCTACCACCGACCAACCCTGTCCTCATAGTGTTCATATAAAGATATTAGTGGAAGTCTGTGCCACTAGGAACACAAGCACAGCAGCACCTTAAACCAAACATGAATAACAAGCTTGCAAGGCCCAGAATGTTAACAACAGTTTGGTGTGAATGTATTTGGAACAGTAAATTGTACATTAAGATCATGTTTAAAAAAAATAACCCATCAGAACTAGATTAAAGCAAAGGAAGCTGTACAACCTTAACGATGAAGGCAAGTACATTTGGTTCATCTCTGAGCTGTCACTTCAGTAACATACTCTTTTGCAAGCTGAGCACCCCACGTTGATTCAGTATTAGTCCTGTTGACTTATATATTTGAAAGCCTACTAAAAACCCAAGATCTCAACACTGCCAACACATCTCTACCCAGCCTCACGGAAAAATCAATTCAAATCTAAGCACGTGAGCCTGTGCTGGCAGGACAAGGATTTCAAACAGTCATCTTTCTTTGTTCTGTTGCCTCTACACAATCGAGGTATATATGACTAACAGGGAAATTCAGCCTTTTGTTTTCAACAGAAAAAAATGACTGCATGACTTAGAACAAAAATTTGTAAGGAGGGTTAGTTACAGACGTGAAGTTACAGACACTGAACTGTTCAAAACTAGAGGAGTTCTCACAAGGCTTGTTTTACAGCTGTTTCATTTACAGCTGCAAGTATTCTTTTTTCTTTAAGACATCATATCCTTTGGGAAGTGAAATGGTTTTTGACACAAGCAGCTTTGCACAGCTAAGAATACGTAGCGTGAGCAAGCTCTGGCTTTAAACTACCAATTTCTCCAGGCTGACATGAAGAGTTGGGGGAGAATTCCCTCCCTACCCAGAGCAGAAAGGAGTATTTACACGCGTATTAGTGGAAACAGATGCAAATGAAGCTAAAAGTAGAAGAAACGTACATCTACTGTCACACAAACTGTTAACACCGTGACAAACATGGAAGGCAACAAGACAGATCTCTCATTTTTCAGCTGGTTTGTGCTTATGTTCTCATAGAACGCGTGTCCCAAACTGGCTGTTTCATTTGTTTCAATTTTTTATATACCGGAAGAAAAAGCTCCAGTGAAACTACAAAACTACTCATTCAGTTTTAGATTAGCATTACACAGGCACCCAGATCAAGATCCAGCAATCGCAGCATAACAGAATTAAGCAAGAAACACAAAGAGTAAGTACAAGTAACGTTAGTATCACTTCCAGATAAAAATTTGTGCTAAGAGACTATGAAGAACCCGATGTTAATTTTGTATGGTAGTTCCAATGGCAGCAGAGGATACAAAAGAGAGTAAGCAAAGTAAGAAGTCACTGCTGACCAATACTTACAATAGAGACACTGCCTTGAAAATCAGAGACAAACTGCAGAGAAAGGGAGACAAGTATCATTTTAGTACTACCAAGAAATAGTTCTGATTGAAGTTTATTTTAAAGAACTTGTTCAATTTGAAGAACGAGTAGTATTCAGCAACAATATTTCAGATCAGGTTTCATTAGGTTTCTTGCCAGATTCGGCAAACTGTGAGGTCTGGTCGCAGTCTTCACATTTTCACAAAAATACTTAATAAATCCAAACTGAGTGACAAAGGACCCAAACCGGTTTCTGACTTTTAGGAATAATTTACGGAGAACCAAATTTGTGAAGAAAGAAGTCAGAATGAGCCGCTTCCCTAAGGCAATGCAGATGCATTTAACAATTTCTTAACACTGCACCTGCAATAAAAAATTTCATGTTGTAGCACTGTGTTCACCTAATTAAAGCTCAAACTATTTTAAACCTATGGGATGAGGGAAGGGAATGGTATTTCCATGTTCTAATAAAACACACAAAGCTCATAAATATTTCTAATTACAAAGTACAAGGAATGACTAACGATTGCATTGTAAGATTGTGTCCACATAAACCTTAGTTTTTTTCTGATAGTCTCTGATGTTATGAGCTTTGGCTTGCACCGCAAGAGCATGGCAATTCTCATTCTAATTTGTAAATTAGTTTCCCAAGTTTTTGAAATGCCTCCTGGTCTCTCGGATGGCTACAGTTCAAAGCCTTCTGCAATTCTGCTCCTCATCACCTAAGATTCCTCCCTTGCAGAAAAAAGACTGACTTTCTAAATTCAGAGGTAATGAACAGTTTCTCATTTCTCCTTTCTGCAGCTGTGGAAAATGCAGTTTTTCCCCAAACAGTCAGAGTCCTTTAAAGTATTCCTCTAGGAACCAGATCTGTAGTAACTGCTTCTCTTTCATGTGTCAATACAGAATCACAGAATCATATGGGGTTGGAAGGGACCTCTGGAGATCATCCAGTCCAACCCCCAATGGACAGCTTGCTCATGGAAAACACAGAAGCCTATGCATATATGAAGAAAGGTTTTCTGGTATTTCAGGCAGGGAGAAGAAAAAACACTTAAAAACCTGACGATGCAAAACTACTAGAAAAATACTACAGTAGAATAAATTAACCTGGTTTTGTCATTTATCTTATTTCTCAATTACAAAGTAGGGAGGTAAATAAGATTCAGGTATATCTTCAGCAGAAGTAGAATTACAAGCAATGCCTTCCTTTTTTCAATATATCCCACCTTTAATATCAGAACTCAAGACACTGTGAAACCTGAGAGGGCTTTCCCCAAAGCAAAATTACTGTAGTCCTGGAGGAAACTGCAAGATTCCTTTCTGCAGTTTCTTCAGCCAAAGACTGGAAGTGTGTGAACTTGCACCAAGAAAGGCTGAAAAATTAAACGGGCAACAGCTGTGGCTTCAGCAGTTTTTCAGGAGGAAAATAAGGATTTCATTCAGCCAAAGACTGGAAGTGTGTGAACTTGTACCAAGAAAGGCTGAAAAATTAAACGGGAAACAGCTGTGGCTTCAGCAGTTTTTTCAGGAGGAAAATAAGAATTTCTTATTCATATTTCACGCTTACCATATTAGCGTGTTGACTATGGCAATTTAAAGAGGGGTAGGAAGAGACAAAAGAAACAAAAGGTATTGCTCATTTCCAACAAAACAGGCAGGCTGCAAAGGATGAGTAACAACTCCCACATCTTTGAGTTGAGAATATGAAGCACAAAGCGTAGTGAGTCTTCAGAAACTAAGGCTTGGACATACATTTACTGATGGGCTGCCCAGTAAATACGCAGCCAGTACCTCTCCTCTCACAATGGAGGAGTAAAGTCTGTTACAGGCCCAGGAACTTGACACAAAGAGGTTTCTCTTTTCATTTAAGGTAACAGAAACAAAAATCTGGCCAGCACAAAGCCAGAGGCCTACATTTTGCCGGTATTATAATAAGAGATAAAAATTAGTTAAGGCCAAATTCCAAAATACATTCTCAACTGGCTCTTTTTTTTTTCATGCAAATAAAAAAACCAACTGCAAACAACGGTATGAGGGGCAAGATGAAAAGTAAAAAAAAATTCCAAGAGGTCATGCATTTCTTCTCTGAAAAATCAGTTGGTTTGAATTTGACAATACTCAGAAAAACTCTCTCAAGGCTACAGATCAATGTGCAAAAGCAAGATACAGCTGTTCTGAAAGGGCTTCTGTGAGCTGATCTCCCAGCTCTGCTATAGCTCCGTGTTCCAGTTGGGTTTGGAAGTGGGAAGTCCAAAGCCAGGACTGTAGGTGGAGTGAGTATTCTAGAGAATTTAATTTCCCACTTCTACAGATTTCTGTTAAGGTAATAGAGGTATAATCCACTGTAACGTTTCTCAACTTGTATCTTAATAAAGCTAGGAGAATTTCAGCAAAAACAAATTATTCCAGTCTTTGAGGCACACACATTGTAATATTTGCATCTTACAGACAGAAATAATTTAAGCAAATCCCCCCTGAAGACTCTAAATATGTTAGTCCCATTTATTATACTAGCTAAAAGGACAACATACTAATTCTTCCTACACTTATGTATTCCAAGTCCTTTTCCTACCCTTCAAAGGGCATCAGTGCCATTCAGGGGAAAAAAAAATTTTAAAAACCTACATGTTCTTAATAATAAATATATTCAACAACTCAGGAGTCTATGGGGGCCTAGTGTGTTGGGACAGGTATTTGGAAAATACCAACTTATGCAGGAGAAAGAGCTGTGAAGGCATAAAGTAAATGAAGACGATACAGCTTACTATGTCCATGCCGGATTTAAAATACAAGCTACTAAAAAAAGTAAACAGAAGTAGCTTACACTAATAGAATCCTCCCCCGTTAAGTTCAGGGAAGCATCTGAATTGGACAGGTCAGGGTTTTGGTCCTGCACATTGGAACCCTATACGTCAGCCAGGAATAGGTAGAGATATATATATATGTAGAACAACTTAAAAAGTTCTTCTGTTTAAATGAAAGCAGTTATCAGCTTTGTAAAGAAGTCTGAGGAAAAAACCATAGGCACCACATAATCTTTTTTTAAGGTTCAAATGTACATTAACATGTTACAGCCCCCCTTTTCCCCCTCATTTATACACACATAGCTTATGTAAAGTTACATATTCAATAAAGTACCTTCAGCATGAAAAGTCTCTTAGGCCGACTGCTCACGATAGCTACATTCAATAATGCAAAGTGGATAACTTGGTCAAGCCATCTCTCCCACCCCAATAACTTAATTTCAAACCACAGGAAACCGTTCCATGACGTAGTGCTCAATGGCTGGGCTTGTCAGAGCTCTGAAACAAGGAGCACAGCTCTTCACAGGTCTGGGTTTCTACCGAGCTGAACTGGGACTCCATTGTATTCCAGGCTAAGTCAGCCAGGAGAAAGTCATCCATTGCTGTCTGCGTCTCGTTGCTGGTAAGGAATAAACTCCCCAGATTCTCAAAGCAGCTATCCATAGTCTGTGTTTCAGCACTACTCAGCTGGACTTTACTTTCAATATTCTGAGTAGGGATGTTTTTAGTAGCTGGATATACTTCTGTCTGGGTTTCTGTGTCAGATGAGTCAGTACTCATGGAGAAACTAGACTGCTTCAGAATACTCCCTAAAGGCAGATGGGTATTACTGTCCAAAAAAAAATTCAAGTCTGTCTGTGTCTGGGTATCAAACATCTCCAAGCCTAAGAAGTTAGAATTTCCTCGGCAGCTGTATGATTGAGTGGCACTATCTGAAAATAAGAAATCAGTCTGAGTTTCAATGTCCAGCGACTCCAGAACTGGCTCAGAGTTCAGGGTACCAAGCTCGCTCTCTTCAGTCTGAGTTTGGATATTGGATGCTGAGAAGAACTCTTCAATGTCGAAGTCTATTCCTGTGCTCTGTGAGGGACCAGATGGCAGATGCGTGTCAGCGTTAGAGCTCGTCTCAGACAAAAGGCCCCGATTATCCAGCGTCTGGCCAGACATGTTTCCTGAAAAGATGTTCTCCAGATCACTTAGGAGGTCCATTGTCTGGGTTTGATTATCCATCGTGTTCTGAGGTGGAAGTATATTAGTCTGTGTATTGAAGCTGATAAGGGATTCAGACTTCACCGTATCTTGACTCGGGCTCTTGCTGTTACTCCTTGGCAGCAAGGTTTGATCTATATTCGCAGGCATTAAATTGTTTTCTGGGAGCTCCATGTGAGTAGAAACATTATATGATGAATCAACATTGTCAAAGATGTCACTGCACATTACAGCCTGGTCCATCTGCACTCTGCCATCGATGGAGTCCTGCGTCCTACTGGTTTGAGTCTCTCTAGAAACACCACAGGTTGGGAAACAAACCTGACTGAAAGCATCGGTCTGAGCAGCTATGGATGAAGTCAGTTTGGAAGCAGGCAGCAGCGTCTGCGTTTGCACACTGATGGGTAAGGAAACCTGGGAACCAAATGACAGATCTGTCTGAGAGCAAGAGGAGACAGAAGAATTGGGAGTCCAGGCTGCCCCTGGTACAAAGTTCTGTGAAATATAAGATAAGTCCGTTTGTATATTTATTGAAGAAATTTTATTCTTGTGACAAGCGTTCCCCAGCTCTTGTCCCGTGTTATTTGATGTCACCTTATCCAAGTCAACTTGTACACCAGTACTTACTGGTTCACGGTCAGCAGAATTTGTCACTTTTGAAACAGGCATACTATCTTTAAACACAAGTGTTTCTGCCTCCAGTGCTGGAATCAGAATTCCTATAGATTGAGGCAATAAATGAACAGTACTTACAACCGAACCTTGATTATCAACGGCCACTACAGCAGGTTTGACAGCAGAGTCTGTTGCAGATACATATATAGGCAAGTGAGCAACCTGCATCACAGGGAGTTTAACCAAAGCCACCTTGGGCTTTGGTAAAAGCATCTTCGGTGTACATTTTGGCTGCATTTGGTTTGTGAAGTTAGAACTGCAGGAGCCTTCAAGAGAGGCCGCTAGTTTCACTTCAGAGGATTCCAGTTCCTGAGTGCCAGGGTTAGGATTGTGTGTATTGATGAAGGCTTCATTTGCTTTCTCTGCCAGCTGCTGGTTATGTACCGAGGTTTCCATTTTCCTTTTCTTACTAGGAGGATCCCTGTGAACATGAAATTAATAATTTATACTCCATTCAAGCACAAAACATCTGCCTTCCATTCCTTTGAGTCATTGCATTAAAAATACAAATGGAAGTAACAGATGAGGCTGGGTATGAGAAGACAACGAATCCTGATTAAAACATAAAAAGACTCCATGAACTCCAGCTTTGTAAAATTTAATTCCTCACTCTCACATTTAAAAAAGAAAAAAAGGTTCACTCTTTTATGGAGACCTATTTCTAAATGGAGGTGGAAGTTTAGATGGCTTCTTCCCCCTTGTACATTAAGCACTTCGATTTGAAGACACATTTAATTTGTTAGTTTGATGCTAACTCAGACTGAGCATCAAAGGGACAATGCTCTTAAAATTCGTGTACAAGTAAAGGTCTGTCATGGAAACGGAAGATACAATTAGCGCTCTTTCACACAAAACTTGATTTTGCAGCAGTTGAATCTCCAAGACAGACGGGCTAGGCCTTTATGAAATGTATGTACATCGTGAGACAACTATAAATCTAAACATGCATGTATAGGCTTTAAAAAAAATAAAAATTAAAAAAATCCACTAATACTTGCAAAGACAACCAGATTGTAAAAGAAAATAAACCGAACTGCATTCCTCACCACAGTTAGAAGCTATAAACATTTCCAAATCATCTCTACTCTCACGCAACCGTAAAAGCAGAGGCAACAAGAACCACTAGCATTTATGCCGTGCAGTCCAGTATCATCACTACTTCTTGCTTTATACGTGGGGAAACTTGATCTTATTGCCTAATCAATCATCATTGCCTTCAACCAAATAGAAACTACTAAAAGCAACGGAACAAAGAAACTGGAAACTGCTTTGCAGCTACAACAATGTGAGCCTATTTCCAATTTCATCAACAGAAAGGAAACAAACAGCCAGTACGTGGGAGACAGAGGACTTGGTGATGAATATAAGTATCATTACTTAATTACTTCACTTTTACCTGTGTTCTGCAGGAATTTCATGGCCAGTTCTGTAAATATGAGAGAGTAATGCTGTTCTGCTGGCGTAAGGGCACCCACAAGTGCACTGGAACGTCTTGCCACACACCTCTATGTGCCGCTTCAAATACCACTCTGTACCATAGGAGTTACTACATTTATCACATTTGTGCTTCTTTTCAGCATGCATTTTCATAAAGTGCTAAAATACACAAGGAAAAGTAAACATTAGCCTTCAGCTAAGATAAAAAAAAAAGAAAATCATGTTTAGGGGAGACATTAACTAATATTTGCAGGTTTTTTTAGTTGTTAAATAGCACTGAAGACTGTAATAATTTTTTTTTTAAAGTCTCATTACAAAAAAGTTACAAGCTTAAAAAAATCAACAGAAAGAATTTAAACTTTGCAAATCTGCTTGTGCTATGTGCATCTTAAACCACAGATAAAAACATGAATGCGTCCTCCTGTGGACATTAATAAATCTATAACTGAAACTTGCCAAAGAGCATAGTAACTGTATGTTGCAACACACACATGCTCCTGAAGATCCACAGCTGAGCAAATAGTCTCAAGTCAAACAGATCAACTTCAGAGCAAACACCAGAATTTCTCCTTTTCATTTACGGTACCACGTGCCAGCCACTCCTCTCCTATGTTCTCCCCAGCTTATCACAGGAAACCAACAGCAGAAGAGTGCTTTTGTCACTCACTCGTGCAGAAACAAGTCTTACATGTTTTCCTAAACAGGTAATTAGTAAACAAATGCATTTTGATACTGAAGCAGAGAAAAATTCCTCATTCTTGACCACTTGAAAAAGCAGTTTAAAAGCATCAGCCATTTTGTAAACCCTTATTGGTTGCTACTGTGATTTTTTTTTCCCCTCTTTGTTCTTCATCTTTTTAATTTGTGCAGGGGACTGTCTTCTAGTCTAGCAGAACATACCGGCATCTGCCTGATCAAAAGGTTCAAGTCCTCTAATATCAACATGCAAAGATGCCAATTCATTAACCATATGCCCATGTGGAGTTTCTGCACACAATTCTCCAGCTTCTGGATATATGCTAGAGAGGCTCTGCTCATACCAGAATGCTAAAGTGTACACTCTCCAGAGTAGAGACAGTCAGGACCAAATCAGTCATGAAACGCAATACTTTAGGAAATAGGAATACCTGTTTTACAAGAGAAAATTGGGAAAATGGTCTGTTTGGTCCTCTAGGGCAGCCTTCAATAGGACAGCAGTAGAATTTCTGTGAAGTTTTCAAACCCTTCCTTATTGGTGCATTAAGTTTTCCACCCTGAAAAAGAACCAGTTGAGAAGTTGACAATTCTACAGGTTTGCGACAATATTCAGAATACACATCCACACTGGCTCACTGAGTTTACACACCTCAATGAGTTGAAGGCACTTTCCTACATGATTTGAAAGTTCAAATGGAGTTTTTCAACCTATGTGGACGCTACTTTGCAAACAGATCATCAAAATTTACCAAGTGAAATCACAACAAGCTCTACAGAGCAGTGTATTGGACTATTTACTTCTACCAAGATACTCACTGCCCCAAGGCAATCACAGCCACCGTCTGTGTTACTTGAGCCAAAAGGCTTTCCCTACAGACACCACACCACACCGTCAATTCGCCGGTTTTCCTTGTTAGTAGCACAGTCTACTATTAAAATTAGTCACACACTGTGAAACACAACACTTTCCTGATGCTGGAATTCTGGTGGCACTATTTAGAGTTTACTTGTAATTAAATGAAAAATGTTAAGTACGCTCTGCCACTTAATTCAGATCATAAACCAAATCTCACTTAAGTCTACAAAACTAACAACTGGTACGTTAATTCTGAAGCTCCAAAACTTGCTCAAAGAGGACCTCAAAAATACATGTAAAAATCGTCTGGATTGTTCAACCACCCAGAACCTATTCCTGCTGAGGACAGAGCCATGGAAACCAGACAAGACAAATATCCTATCTGAAAGTGTCTCAGTGGAAACATCAGGCATCTGTGTCTAAGCATAAAATTAAAAAGTGAACTATTAAAAATCTGATGCTCAGAGTAGCTGTGGATCTCCTTACATCCTGAGGCTGAGGAGGAAGCCAACCAAGTCCCCAGAGTAGTTCAGGATGATTATTCCACCAAGATGATTATTCAGGGAAGAATTACCGGAGCACACCCTGCTCGAACTCTGCACCTGATTTTCCTGAGCATGACGACAGCGACGTCAGCAAGTGGTGAAATGTTAATTTTATACCAGTCACTCCCTAACTGCCTTCTTTGGGCACATCTCCAGCTGCTTCGTGTTTACACAGGTTAAACCAAACATAAAGAATCCATCAAGCGCAACAGTTGCCCCATGTGAAGCAAACAGAAAGGATGTATCTCTGCTGCCAGAACACAGAGGGGTTCACAGCTCACCCCCCCTTCTCACCCAGCCACCGCCAGTCACGACCCAACGACTCTGTGCTGAGCTGCTCGGGCCTTGCACTAAGCATTTTGTTTTCATTTCAGATCAGTGGGACACTTCCAATGATTTGGTTTTTTTTCCTCAAATCATCTCTCAATCGAAAATACCCCGTGCAAAATGTGAATCCCTTCAAGCAATATTTCAGTTATATTTCCACACACTCAACCCTGCTTCTTGCCTACGTTGCTGCAAGTTCATTTTTCTTAATGACATACCACACTCAAAAGAAGCAAAGTTTAGAGCCTCTTGAAAAAAATGATCACTGCCCATTTCATCAAGAAAACCTGGAGTAATTCTCTACAAAGGGAGTTTTCATGTAAGGTTTGACCTTCTAAGCAACTTTACATAAAGCAGTTTTCCCCATGGACATTCCCCACTCATTAACAGGCCTGTTTCATCTCTGCTGAATAACTAGTGTGATTATTTTTGCACCTCCTAGAGCCACTGCCCAAAGCAGGAACATGATTCAAAGAAATCTAGTTGTTCCAGCACCACTACCCCCAGTTACATTTTTTAACCCTGAGTTTACCCAGAAACACTCCGAGCAGATGCCAGTCTCAAAGTCTTCAGGAGAAAAAAAGATTTGTCTTTAAATCAAAAATATGTTTGGTCTCTCCCACCGCAGATGAAATCAATGTGCTTAGTAAGGGGCAACTGGAGTTACTTATTCCTAAGTAGAAAGTTATTCAAAGTGGGTTATATTTAATGTCACAACCCAACAAATGATAAAGTAATATGGGAAATAAGTTCAGGCACTGAACAGGTAAACCACAGTCAGGTTATTTAAAACTACTTAAGTACTAAGGTACAGGATAACACCAAGTGTTTAAAAGCCATACAAACACGTGTAAGATGCTTTTTAATCAGCTGGAACAGAAACGTTGGAAGCACAGATCACACCAAATTTCTTGTGACAAGTTGAGATACACATATAAGTAACCCCATCCAGACAGTAATCTTGTTTTGACCATCTTCAAAGTCCTGCCTCTAAATGGTTAACCTCACATCTTCTCACAAACCTGTCTGGCCAGTCCTATTTCAGACACTCTCACAATTCCTTTCCGTGTATGTCTGATTTTACTTCCCATGCTTCTACAACAGCCACCCACCCCAGTCACTGGTAGAGATCTGTTCAATTAACTTCTCAGAAGGCAAACACTTGTTTTGTGAGGAATGCTGACATTCAGACAGGGCCTGTGCCAAGAGAATGGGAAGTAACAATCCTTGCTACTGATTTAGTCCTGGGAACTTAGTCCTTGCTTTCCTGCAGCAGAAAGTCTTACTCCAAAGGACTAATTTAAAACAATAAGTTACAGTAGACGGTAGCCAACTATTTAAAACATTTTTTTTGCAGCAGAAGATCATACATTTCATTATTAAATAGCACAGAGAGAAGTGCATTTATTCTTACTATAAAAACTATTGTGGCAGTGTAATATTTGCACTTGGGTAACCCACCCCAAGGGTGAGCCACCCTTCACCACCCAGTCCACCCCTGACCTGCTGTCACAGGGATCCCCAGGATCCTCTCCTTTACACAAACTCCTCTAGCTTCATTTTTAACTCAGACAGATGCCTTCCCCTCCTCTCCATGAAAAATACAGACAAAAGACCAAAAAATCATAAAAAGTTTCAAGCCTAATCTATTAAGTGCCAGTTTATATCCACTGTTCTCATTTTTTATTGGCTTAGTTAAGCTAAAGAGCCAGAAAACAAACATTTATATATCAACACTTCATCATATCGTCTTTTGTTAGGCCAAACAAGCCAAATTCTTCTAATTTCCCTTTGTCAGACACGCTTGCTATTCATCATCCTTAGTAGCCCTTTTCTACACCTCTTCTGGGTTCAATTTAGGTTATTTGAATCAGATTCCAACCCTACAGCAGTGACAGAGAATATCGTTCTGACCTATTTCGGGATCGCCCTTCTCACAGCAGTGTTACCCTCAACGCTCACAGGGCCAAACAGATTTTGCAAGTTTCCTATTTCAGTTATTTCCGTTAGAAACCAGGCCTCATCAAATGTTTTGTTCTCAGTTCACAAGCCTATAACCTTGTACTACTGCACTTGACACTGTTTTTAGAGGGTAATCTTGCTTTCCTGTGGAAATGCCCTCCCTATGCAGCAATGAGGGGATTGAGAGCACCCCCGGTGAGCCTGCAGAGCACACCAAGCTGGGTGGGAGCGTTGATCTACTTGAGGTCAGGAAGGGGCTGGTGAGGGGTCTGGAGCACAAGTCTTGTGAGGAGAGGCTGAGGGAGCTGGGGGTGTTCACCTGGAGAAAAAGAAGGCTGAGGGGAGACCTTCTCGCTCTCTCCAACTCCCTGAAAGTAGTCGGGAGGTGGGGATCAGTCTCTTCTCCCAAGTCACAAGACAAGAGGAAATGGCCCCAAATTGTGCCAAGGGAGGTTTAGATTGAATAGCAGGAAACATTTCTTCACTGAAAGGGTTGTCAAACACTGGAACAGGCTGCCAGGGAAGGGGTTGGGTCACCATCCCCAGAGGTATTTAAAAGACAGGTAGATGGTGCTGAGGGACATGGTTTAATGGTAGCTGGGCACGGTTAGGTTAATGGTTGGACTTGGTGATCTTAAAGGTCTCTTCCAACACAAACTATTCCATGATTCTATGGCAATACCTCATAGCTTTTGATATCAAAAGATTCTACTGGTGCTACTTTTATTAATGAAAATTAACCAAGTCAACCTCTCTTCTCTCCAGCACTACTACCTTCTCTTCTTCCCCAACAGCTGCTTACCATCTCATTTGCTAAGTTGCCTCTTCATTAATTCCTTGTGTTTCACTAACAAATGCAATCTACCAAATTCTTTTTGTCTGGGGAATTCATTCTCTCTTTAAAGGAAATACTAATACTAAAGTATTAGTCCAAGTCCACCTCTTTCTGGAGAAATGGAGTAACACGCACCTAGATTTACATCTTTTTACATTTATACCTTTAGCATTTCACTCAAGATGCATTCTCAAACTGTGCTTAACACTGAAGATATTTTATCTAAGACACAGTACAGAAAACTTAGCTTCCCTTAAGCCTCAACAACATTTTAGTCTCAATTACAATGCCCTTGGACTAAGTCAGATGTTCCCAAAACTCTGCATGCATCCATGTTTCAGTATTTGCCCAAACTATCACAAGACGTAGTAATCAGGTGTATGAAATATGTTATAATTCCACGAGGCACCCACAGCTAACAGCCGCCTAGGGAACTGCTGAGAAAGCAGCATCTCCTCATCCCAAAGAGAACTTCTGTTTCCCACAAGCTGCTGCACACGCTCTGGGGAAGAGCTCCCAACCAAGACAACTGTCTGCCAAACCTGAACAAACCTTCTCAACTTCTATTGCACCTCCACTCATACGTACGAGCGAGATAGAACACGTAACACACACCCATGTGCATGTAGCACGTATTAGGAATCGAAATAAAACGATCAGAGATAGGAGATCGCAACCTTACTTGACGTTATTTCCTTTTGTTCACCAGAAACAATCCCGTGTAACACACACTTGATTCTGTAATGAGCCATTTCACAAAACAAGCATGTTTATTGTTTGCCCACTGGGGCTGTGACAAAGTTTTCCGGGAGTAGGATTTCTCCTGGCACGCCTGGCATTCCGATTTTGAGAGAAGCAAGGACATCTTTCTGAAAGGCCCACACTCTGAGACTCGCCAGTGGAACGGCGCCTCTCCTCCCCCCCCAGCACAGGCTGTGTTTTCTCAGGAGTACTATGGTAATGAGGGCTCCTTTCCAAAATGGCATCCATCTACAGGTTTTTTTGGGGTTTTTTTGGCTCACAGACATTTTTAAAAAAACAAACAAAAAGCCCAGCATAACACCGCTCAGCGTTTGGCTGAGGGGGACTCGCCAACTGCTCGGGGTGGGAGAGGCAGCGTGTTTGCACCGCACCTCACCGGGGGGGCCGGGGGGCCTGGCTGCAGGGAGAGAAACAAATACAGAAACCGACTCCTGAAGAACTTTTAACCGCTTTTGGTACGTTTGAGGCCGGTTAACTGGTTATTTTCTGTCAGTAATTTTGGCGGAGCTCTCCACACGGCCGGTCAGGCACCGGTGTGTGTATACAGATACCCGCACACCCTTCTCACCCGGGGGGGGGTTTAAACACCCAGACGCGCTTCGTTCCTCCCATTTTGGGATTCCCCCCCTCCCCACACCTTCCGACCCTCCGCAGAGCGAACCCCACCAAACCCAAAGGCCGCAGCCCCCCCCGGGCCGCACCCCCGCGGCCTCCTCAGCCCTCCCGCCTCAGGGGGGAGGCCGGCGGGCAGCGGGGCAGGGCCGGGCCCGGCGGGACGAGGCCCCCTCCCCTCCCCGGGCCCAAACGCCGGCCCCGGGGGGCTTCGCGGAAGGAGGAGCCGCGCCATTCCCTATCCCCCCCCCCTCTCCCCGGCCCGAGCGGGGAGGGCGGTACCTGGAGCGGGTGGGCCTTGCTGAGGTGCATGTTGAGGGCCGGGCTGTTGGGCAGGACCTTGCCGCAGCCGGGCACGGTGCAGAGGATGTTGGTCCTCACTTGGGACAGCTCCGTCACCGAGGGACGCACCAGCTCGCCGGCGGGCGGCACGTCACCCACCGGGACGGGTGCCGGTGCCGGGGGCCGCCCCAAACCCCCGCCACGCCGCCCGGCTGCCGCCGCCGCCATGTTGCTGTCAGCTACTCCGGGGCACCCCCCCTCTACTTCCGGGGGCGGCGGCCAATGGTCACGGTCGGTGATGAATATTCAGTAGGGGCGTGGCCAGGCCCCGCCCGCTCCCCCCCTCCCCGCGGGGCCCGGCAGCGTTTTCACGGTAAAAAAGGGGAATAACGGTGCATAACGGGGCCAGAGCACCCGGAGCGGCGGCGGAGAGCGCAGTCTCCCCTCCACACAGCGGCTCTTCTGCGGTGGTTGCTCTGAACTCACATTTTAGAACCAAAGACGCAACACAAGGGAGGTTCTCCCCTATAGTTTGGGTAGTTAAAGGAAATAATTGTCAATACCATTCAGGGGGGAGTGTTAAGGGGGTTGTGTGGTTCCCTTGTGTTCATTGGACTGCCCCAGCATCCCATCTACACGCATTCTGCTGCTGGTGATTAATAAAAAGGTACCTTCTGGCTGGAACTGCTGCACAGTTCCTCTAAGAGCCTTGAAACGTGTATGTGAAAATCAGAAACGGACTCCTCCGTTGTTAGAAGAGGGAGGGAGAGTGCCTTTCCCAGAAACAGGCCTACTGGCAGGGATGCACAATGGTACCTTTACAATTACCTTTATGGTAAATCACTACCATCTCAGGCATTGAAGTTATTTGGGAGAGAACATTAAGAAGTAGTTGCAGAGTGGAATGCGTACGGGAGCAGTAATGGGTCTGACTCCTGGCAGGCTCTGCCAGAGTGTGAGCAAGAGACATTAGGAGGCCACGCTTAAAAGTTTATCACTCATTTTATTACTAACACAAAACCCGTAGTTGTTTCAGAATCCTAATATTGCAGTAAGTATTTTGTGAAACTAACATTTAAATGACACAGGTGTAAGTCCCAAAAACATATCACTATCAGATAGTCCTAAACTAACTTCTTTTTACTTGCAAGTTACACCAAGATGCTGAAAACCACAACAACCCAAAAGTCAGTGTGTGTTACACCACATTTCTAAGTCAGGCCAAACAAACTTCTATGAGAAGAGGTAATTTACACATTTATTTACGGTTTGAAAACAAAAGCATTCCCATACAACCTCTCTAAATATTTACACAGTGCCGTGAAGTCACATGGACTGTCTCTGTACATTGACACATCTAAACGGAATCGGAAATTCCCTACACACCAGGTTTCCAGGTAACAGAATTAAAATAGAAACACTTGTACACTGTAACTGGATCTTCAGATCAAATTAATCTCAAAAGTGATGCAGCAGGTTACATAACAATACCTATATAATTACCAATTACACTTTACCAACTCCAAAGAGCTCCAGAGCTGTCATTTGCATTAGTGAACGTCGCCGTCTTGATGCTGCGAGTGGGAACTCGCAAGGATCACAGAAGGATCAAATCTGAATTCAAAGTTCTAAAACATGGTCTTCCTCAAAAGAAAATTATTGCCTTTTTCATTGCATCCCTCCAAGATAAAATTTCACAAGACATTTATAGCAATAGAAAGATTTTTCTTTTTCTTTTTTTTTTTAAGTATTTATTGCCTGTTGCCCTTGGTGAGTAAAACCTCTGGATCTCAATTCATACCCACTAAAGCTGGATGGAAACTTCTTGCTGACATCCCTATTCCTAGAGTCCCTTCTCCCCCACTGCCCTGTAACAGTCTTTGAATCTAATCTTCACCCACTAAGGTAAAAACACGCCTGACGGGCCGACAAGCAGTTTCCCTTGTCTGAAGGGGACTATTCACATGTGGGAAAGGGGCAGGTGTCTGTCACTGGGCTGGACTGGAGCCCGAGTGAGGCAGCCACTGAGAATATCTTCACCATCTACAGCTGTGACAGTCAATTGAACAGCTACAGCTGTCACATTGTATCTTTATTAAGCTTTAACTTCTCAAATAATATTAAAAATACAGTTAAGAGCAATCACCACATTTAGATTTATAATAACCACGATCTCTGTTTAAGCTTTGCAATATATGTTTTTTTTATTATTCAAGTAAAGGGCTAACTCTTCTGTTAAAGGTAAATGTGGAAAAATAATTCAAAGCAGCCATCGTTTGGAAAAAACTTTAAGGAATTATCAAAGAATAAGTTATTTTCTTTAAGATGTGTTTTAAAAAGTTTATGATGATTTAGATTAATAACAATAAGAAATGAGTTCTGTGTTTTGTATGAATCAATTTTAAATTAAGGGCTTACAAAACTTTCTGGTAATACACCTTTTTTCTCTCTAATTTTAAAATAATTCCTAGCTTTTTGTGGTATACATGTAAGCAGTGGTGAAAGTGGTGCATCAGCCATACCTGGAGGGAGAGAGAGATCATTATAGCTTCACTCAACCAATATTTACCTTTCCTAACTGTAATAAAACTAAAAACACAGCTTGAGTATCCATATACAACTAGTAATTCTAAGAACAAACTGTATATACTTAGACATAAGTTTTTATAGTGACAACTTCTTAATTCTACTAAATTTCTATGTATTTCTAAACAAACTATGGAGGTTCCCCTTTATGCAAGCTAGAAGCAGAATGTAAGATGACAAAAATATTTAACTATGGATTTTTTTTCCTCTATTTTAGAGAGTTGGAACACTTACCTGCTAGTGCCAAGGATTTCAATGATTCTAAAAGATGGGGACTAGAAAACTTGACCAGACATCTGAAGGGTTCTTTTTTATCCAAAACATCCATTTTAGGATCACTTTTAAACATTGTCTCAAGCTGTTAACACAAAAGGTAACCAGGGATTTTAAGCAATGAATATATTTTATGTATAGGTTATTATTTAAACATTAAAAACGCAGTATGTGATCAGACTGTATCTCATTTGTCTATAATGTGTGATGTTAACATGATTCCAGCTGGAGGAATATTTAATAAAATCAGAGGGTGCCACCAAGTGGTAAACAGTTTTCTGCTGAAAGAGGCGGCCAGTTCAGTAATAGTAGAAAACATTAAGTATCTCTTAGAATTCCCTATATGTATCTATTCATCAGCAAAAAACCCATGCATCATCCAAGCTAAATGATGGTGTTATCTGTAGTATGAGCTTTGTATGTACTTCAAATAACCCTAATATCTCATGACTCAATACCCTGCTGGTCAAAGTCTACCTTTATTACAGCAAGCACCCAAAATGGTTAGTTCACAAGGCTGAAAGACTGAAGCATGATCTAGTAGTCTGACCAAATCTCAATGCAAATCTTTTTCTTAAAGATTCTTTTACCTAATTTATTTTGAAATGTCCTCCCTAAAGTTTAAAAAAAATAGAAATCTAGCATACCTTCAATTTGCAATTTAATGTAGCTACCACTATGTTAAAATTATAAAAAAAACCACCCAACAACAACCCAAAATTTGTTGCTTTCAGTACCCTATATTGTGCAAATTCAAGTTTCGGTTGGGGACCATCACCAAAAGCTTCCCGAGTCAGTCTCTGTATTCTTTCTTTCTCACTTTTGTTTTCTTGAATTATCCTTAAATCTGCTGCAGGTGAAAAAAAAGAATAGAAAATACAGAAAGACAACTTTGTCAGCTGATATAATACTGTTTTTCTAATCAGGTGATTAGTCCAGTGAAATTCTGAAGATAATAATTATAAAGAATTCATCACAATCTTTTATTCATAAGCTACTTGTCTCTGTCTATATTTTCAGTTCTTACCAAGCAAAAAAATCTAAGCAAATAGAAAAGGAGATACTGGGCATTGAGTATTTTTGGTTTCACAACTGTGTCCAATGACAGTAACAGGGCAATAATTACCTCTCATAATGACAGCCAGTGCTATGGCACCTCACAAGGGATGGATAATGTGAGTGTAACATACCTACATTTCCTAAAATGAATCTCATTTCATAAGCTAACAGTAGTGACATCCAAACTGCAGTTTAATTTAAAATATACATACCAGCTTCTGGTGCTACGTTTCTTTCTTGCAGAGGTTTGGGATAATAACTTTGGAAGTTCTAAATGGAGACACAGAGGAAAAAATTTTACTTCACTTCCACTTTTAGAGACTGTAGCTGAAACGAACTTTCCAGATTTCTTTTTACTCCTCATTCTGGAAGTGAGTATTCTTCCGGTTTTTGACTATTACTAGAAGTCAGAAAGCCCAGCTTTATTTCGAGAAAAGAATGCCCATCCGATGATATTTGTTAACATTTCCCTATTTACAAGTTTTATGTGGATGAGCAGAGTAAGTGCCCATTCTAACAGCCACCAACTCACTGCTCTAGGATGCCTAGTGAAATGAGGCTAGAAAATCCTAGGACTGAACTGTACATACAATTTTTAGACTGAGTTTAACCATACCAATAATAAAGGGTAGGTGGGATAACAAGTAATTACCTCCCCGTTGAAATATTTCCTTAATAAAAGGTGGTCCACCTCAATATTTCAATATTATTTTAACCCGATGGTCTCTTGGGAGAGGTGAATTTCCCCACCTGGTAGGGGGTGAGAACTAGGCCTGACACAAAAATCAACACTTATCTTCAGATGAAGTTGTGAAGTAGCTCACCTGGCTGTATCTCTTAAACACAATATCTTTAAGGGAGTTTAAAGAATGACTTCGAAGCTCCATTTCACAGATGTCATGGTAATTGGAAGCAACAACCAGGGCCTTTAAATAAAAATTGAAATTGTTTTAACATCAGTCTTAACCGTCGCTCGGTTTATAATATGGAAAAAACCACAGCATTTCTAGATATTGTCATGTTTTTGTTTCAAGGTCAGCAACTGCCCTTTAAATAGTAGGATTCTCATGTCTGCAAAAACGTTGAGTAGACTATTATTAAGCTTAAGTTAATATTTACAAGCATTCACAGGATAACCGGGTAAGCCTATAGCCTTATCAGCTGAATAAATAAAGAAACAGAATAACAAAATAATTTAATTACTACTATGGAAGTCTGCTAAACAGATAAAAAAATTAAAGACTTCCAATGCTGATCACTACAAGTTGAAAGAAAATGCTTTTTAAAACTAATTAATAGCATTCTCTGATGAGCTTAAACATTTAGTTCTGGAAGTTAACTGTGTTGATGTAATATTCTTCAACTTCTATGAGACAATTTAACTAAATATTGCCTAAATGCTTGGTTAAGAAATTAGAACAATTCAAGGTCAGCAAAAGTCCCAATAAATTGAATTTATTCATGTTGCACCGTTTCAAAGGTCTCAAAGATTGGGGTTTGCCCCGTTTTTATCAAAGCTAAAGAAAAATAATTTCTATGTAAATTACTTAATTACTTTAAGTGACAAATCTTTACCCATACTCTTAACACAAATATAACTCTACATGACTGCGGTGAAATCAGGGACTACACAGTTTTATTCCATACCTGACACAGCAGAGGCAAATTGCTCCTAAGCACCGAGGCAGAAATGAAGACATAGGGAGTCTGTGAATGGTACACAACGTAACTGGTTTTGTACTGGTTTGGTTTTGTATACGGTGTTCCCCAGGCAATTCTAATCCAGATTGCATTATCCTCATATTCTCTAAAGTTGATGGTGACCTAAACAGAAAAAGAAAAGCTTTGAATTACCAGCATAACAAAATCTTTCTGGGCATTTGAATATCTCTTAACCCTGTGTTCACAACACCCAAACATAATTTAGTCCACCACTGCTCGAACAAGAAACAAATCCCACTAGTGTGGTAAGGGCTGTATTTAAATCAAATTTCCTCACAAACTTAAAAAAAACCCAACAAAAACCCCCCACTTTTCTAACACTAATATGGCTTTTGTTCCTGTTGATGTGCATTGTCTTCTGAAGAATGAAAATAAAAATAGCTTATTACAAAAGCCTTGATTCCCTCTTTTGGAGAAATAACAACACAACAAAAAAGTGTCTGTTTAGATGAAGGGCTAATGGCAGTATTTCCAATATGTCCAATTTTTGAGAAACTAAACTTTTGATCAACTTGTGATTTTACACTTGACGATAATATTTATCACTGCTCAAGAACACACAATCAGAAATTTGAAGGCGACTTGTTTTCCTTTTCTTGTGGATTTTCTCCTCAGTTACTTCTTCTTACCTTGGCTCAATCTGGGTGATTTAAGAATGGGAAAACTTCCTTAAAAAAAAGAAAAAAGAAAAAAAGAAACAATCCTCCCTTCAACTGAGGCACATGTAGTCAAGCTTTTAGTCCAACTAGGAGAGAAACTGTTTAGATTTCTGGACCAATACCAATTCTCAAAGTTTGTGTGGAATTTTTTTTTAAATGAAAATTCCACAAAACTTTATACATTTATATGAACTGCAGCTGATTATCCTTTAGTCTGATTTGTGTTTGTTGCCCTCTGCTGTTGTCAGGGGGAATCCTTTGTGCATCAAGAAATGAACCTGCTAACTAGGCAGAAGCATTTTCTATGACCTTGTTTACATGAAGCTGGCGAGCTAGAGCAGGGCAAGGCTTTTGCAAATCATTTAGGCAAAGAGTGAGATGATAGTGCCTCCCTTCCAATTTATTTTTCTTACTGTGCTCATTTCTGTAGTTCAGAAACGGCTTCTTGCTGCTGACAGCTGTATTTCAATCATTATAATGTAATGATATACCAGGGTCAGGTTTTCACAGCCATCACAAAATATCATTTCAAAACCTGAACTAAAAGGAAATGGATACAATTTTGCTACTCATCCAAGCAGTAGCAACTGAACTTCTTGTCTTGCTTACTGGCTACTTCAAATTCCCTCTGTACTCCTTTTGATCTGTTGTTTGTGTAACAGGACAAAGCAATATCAACTTACCCAGGCAACAGGTACACTCGAACAGGGCAAAGATTTGATAGAAAAACATACTGCCTTTCTTGAAGACTGTCATATTTTAGGGCAAGCTTACATTTTATTTCACTCCAGCATAATTGTAAAGTTACCAGAACAGACATGCAATACATTTCTCCTATTTCACATGCAGTTCCTACCATTCCCAAATGAATAATTCCATTTGATTTTTGATGCAGACTGTAAGAAAGAAGAACATCTCGCTAAAGTTATGAAAACAATCTATTGACACCAGAGCTGTGTAACAAATTTAGAATGGATTTATTCTTACGTTTTTCAAGGCTGACCGAAGTCGGCTTTTAAACTTTTTTTTGAAATCTGTTAAGTCAAAAACTTCCGTTTCTTCCCCTGTTTTTTTTGAAATCTGTTAAGTCAAAAACTTCCATTTCTTCCCCTGTTACAGAAGGAAAAAAGAGAATTGTGTTTACAAGAACTAGTTCAGAGATGTTTTTACAGTTTTGCTGAAACAAAATGAAGCAGCAAAAGTTGAAGTGCCATAGCCTTATATGAAAAGCCATATATTAAATGTGAGCCTCATTATTGTGATATAGAGAAAAGGTTAATATTTAATTAGGAGTTGTAATTTCTAATAATTGCTTGTGAAGTTAATCAAAAGTATTCTAAAAATATGAAAGATATCTCTGTTGAAAAATCCATACTAGACTACAGTTAAACATTAAAGATCTCTACTGAAAAAATCCATGCTAGACTACATTTGTGTTTAAAATGTATGATATGGGGCAGCACTGCAGTAAGTTGCCAAGAACAGTGAGATTACAGCAAGGAAAGACATTTTACCTCTTTTGTTCATCTGGTAAACGCTCCATATTCTTTTGTTTGGGTAGATGTGGTTGTCTAAGAAAAAGAGGAACTGCTCAACAACACAGCGTATTATCAAATGGTAATTAAAGGGACAAATAATTTTACAATACTTCTACGACCAGGTTATTTCAAAAAGATTTCTTCTAGTAACACAATATAATTTATTCAGCATTCTTAAGCTACCGCTCATTGTAAACCTAAAAGCAAAATAGTTTTTTTATTAGAAGAGATAGGAAGATCTTTTTTAATTCAGTTAAGCAACGGGTATCTCAGAGGTTCAATGTTTAAAGAAGGATTTTACCTAAAATGACTGAAAGTCAATCTAAAGTCAAACTAAGAAGTGTAGGCTGTTAAAAAAACCCTTGAGATTTAAACTATTGTATAATCAAGTTGTGAATTAATAGTGGAGTTAGAGTTCCACCCGCAGCATTTGCTGATAATTTTGCTTACGTCCCTCCTTATCGGAGCGCAATATTACTGACTTTAGGGTTCAACACATACTGGAAACAAACATATCTCTCTATATTTATAATTGTATACTAGATGTGGTTTACCATAGTTTACATCTATTTAGACCTCAGAGGAGGCAAACATGCTTTTGTTGATTTTGAGCTTTTGAAACTTTTTTTAGAAAGGTCAGATCCAGTATGATTCATCATCTAAAATGTAATCTTTTTACACCAAATGCAGCTGTATCTCACAAGGGCAATTCCTATGTAATTAAGGGCCTTATCAAGTTACTCAGAAAAAATATAAGGATGTTTGTTTTCATTCATTTTTTACTTACAAATTATGTCAAGGACAGCTGCTTGCTTTATGTCTGCAGAATTTTCCTGGAAAGAAGAATAACAGCGCATGGTGAACTGCAAGTCCAGAATGCTTTGTCACACTGTTGAGTAAGTGAAAAACCTCAGTCCCGGTAGTTTAAATTACATTGTACTGAAGCCCACAGCAGGTACAGTCCCCTCAGAGACACCCCACCTGGTCCCAACGTGCACACAATACAGGTTTGAGAAATCAATAACGAAAGCTATTTCAGCAAGGTTTAAGCGCTCCTGCAGAAGCAGCAAGAATATTGTCCTTATAGTATGATGTACGAGCAATTAGAAGAGAAGATTAATGGGCATTCATGACATTATGAACACTAACTAGTATTTCACTGTCAGGAATTTTAACTTGCTTGGTTCCTCCTTATTTAACCTTTACAGTTTCTTTAAAACCTTTTCATGCTATGATACTACTTGTTACAGATGTTTCAGAAACAAACAATTTTAAAATATAACATTTGATACCTTACAAGAATAACTTCATAGTTTTTTGATTGGTTTGATCTACACCCCATATAACTAATCTTTGAGTATGAAATTCAAAAAGAATGATACAAAAAGCCTATAGATTGGAAAAGATATCAGTAAAACCTGCACCTATCTGGGTTATGATACTCTATATAAAACTCCTAGCACATATAAAGGTACCTGGTACACAAAAATCAGGGTATCTACAGAGGCGACAAGAAAACCTTTTTTGCTTAAAGTATGCAGAACAAAGCAGTTCTGGCCCGCGAAATTTTGCAAAAAAGTCTAAAAAGTCTAAAGATAAGAACTAGTGCTATCCCCATCCATATTAAGTAGATCTAAATTAGCACGATGAAATGAGTAGACATCTCAATCAATGCCTTTATTCTACAGTTTAGAAAACACACGTTTCTTAAAGGTTTAACGCATTAATCTTTTATCTACCTTGTGCAACTTAAGATCTCAAAACGTGTATCAATCCTGCACTCCTATCAATCAGGCATAACTGATGCTATGACAAGCTCAGCTTTACATTTTCCAGACTACAAACTGCTATTTGATGCTGTGTTACAGCCAAAGAAAATTCATTTCATCATAGGAAGGGTTTTTTGATGGTGCTTCGTATGTCAGTGACAGAGACAGTTCCCAAGGGAAAGAAAGGGTTACCTCACAAAGATAAACCACATCCTGAGAAATGTTTTCCTTCATCTGGTGGAAGTTTAGGGTTTTCAGCTGTGCCTCAGAGAGAAAGCCCCATTTCTGTAGCATCGTCTTGATTTCATCCCGCGGGATTTTAAGTACAGTCCGTCGGATGTACTCAGCAACAGTTTCATCCATGACGAAGGCACCTGAAGAGCTGAAAGGTTAAAGGAGTTGAGGCGGAGGCTGAGGAGAGTCGCTCCCTTTTGGAAGGCCTACAAAGCAGTACCTAGGCACCACTAGCAATACATTGGCGTCACTCCGAAGGGTAGCACCACTACCGATTCCAGGGAGCGAGTTAAAACGCTTCCTACGATATTTTTTTCCTCAGTTTCCCCTCACAGACCGAGGCCTGGTGCGAGCTTCTGGAGAGAGATGGGGCGCCAGCCTCACCTGGCACTGCCTCTCTGGTCCGACGGGTGTCCGGGGGGGGTGGTGACTTGAGGCAGCGGGCACTGACGTGAAGAGAACGGCGTAACGGAATGGAGCGCTGAGCCGGTGCCCTACCCGCTCGCCGCGGCAGCAGCCCCGCTCTCCAGCCGCCGCCGCCGCCTTTCTCCTCCCTGCCCGCCCGCCGCGCGCCCCGCCAACCGCCGCCCGCCTTTCGAAGCGCCCAATCAGACTCCACCCGGTGCCCCGGCCGCCCAATCACAAGGCGCCTCCGCCTCCCGCTCCGCCCCGCCGCGCGCCGGCGCCGTGAGGGCGCTTCCCGCCGCTGCCGGCTGCGCTGAGGCGGCTTCCGGTGGGGCCTGCCCCGGTCAACTCCGTCTCTTCCCTGCCCGGCGCGGCCGGTGGATCGCGCTCAGTACCGGTCGTGCCTGGCTGAGCTCGTCCTCTGGGGACTGGAGTAAGTGTGAGGATGGCTGTGAGGGGAGGCTTTGGCCAGTCTCGAGCGGGCCGCGTCGTTGCTCTCTAGCCCCAAAGGAAAAGAGGGGCCTGTGGGGAGGTGCCTTCCCCGCCTCTCGCCCTCCCGGCCTCGCTGCCTGGCTTTGGGAGAGCCGTGTCCTGCCCTGCCTGAGATCGGGACCCTCTGCTCGCCTCACCTCCTCCTTCAGGGCTCAAGGAAGGCTTTTAAAAGAGCTGTTATGAGTGGGAACCTGGGGCTCTCCGTTCGTTGTGACTGCCGTAAGCTTGCTTCTCTTGTGTCTCCCACCGCTGTTTTAAGGACTCCTGGGAGCACTGCGGAACTACAGAGTGAAAACAGTGTGGGTTAGTTCGGTGGGCCTCCTCTGCCATAACCGTTGATAACAGTGTAGCAGCCCCTTTCACCTGACAGCAAAGCTGTGTTATGCTAACAGTATTTACTTCTGCCAAGTGCTCTGTGCCTTCCATGAGGGGTCTTGCTGCTCAAGGGATGAGGTCCTGTCATCCCCCACGAGGGGAGTGTGATCCTCTTGATCCCCTTCTCTCAGAAGGGGAAAAGCAGTTCTACAGTAAGCAAGAAAATTGTGCTAGCAGTACTACATTTATAGTGTTCTTATCTGCTAGATCAGAAAATAAATGCAATAGTAATGAAGCGAAATCTGGTGGATGCAGCTGAAGTACAAGGGCAACTTGCAGGGCAGGAATTTGGTGACAGCACCTCATCTTCAGCATGGTTTACTTCTTATACTGGCTGGGTCTTGTCATTCTTGACTGTATATCCTCATCTTTTTAGATACAGCAGGGATAGAAAGAGATTGCTTCAGTAATCTTTTGTAATATAGTGCTGTATTGTGCAGTGTCACTTGCATATTATAATAAAAATATTCCACTAATTGTCCTGTAACTGTACTGACCTTTGTTGTATGAATACAACCTTAAATAATTGCCAGGTGATGAAAATACCTTGTGCTTTACTCAATCATTTATTTCAGCCGAAATAAAATGAGAAATTACTTGTTATTCAAGTTGGTGTTCAACTTGCTGTATTCAGTAGGACTAATACCTTTTTAACTTGCTTTACTAAGTATGAAATCAGGTATGATATCATTTTATCAGATACTTATTCCTAAAAGTAGCCTGTGAGTACTCATTCTGCTGATGTGTTGGCAGAAAGCGGTCACACAGAGAGACAGTTAAAATCAGTATGAATCTTATTTATCAGAGGTTTGTTATTATTTAGGTCTAGGGAAAGTAAATGCAATCTACAGACTATAAAAACATTGTAAAAATAGGCATAATCTCCTCCCCTCCGTTTTGCGTTTCCTTGCTATTTATAAGTCTTTATGGATATGTATCTAATTTATCCCCCCTCCCATTCTAATATGTAATATTGAAAAACTAGTGCATCGTTTTGAAGACTGAAATTTAAGAGGTTGTGACTGATTTTTATCAGATTTAGCTCAACTTGGTTTATTATAAACTGAAGGTGTCTGGCTGAATTTCTTGGAAACGTGAGTGTTAGGGTTCATTCTCAGTGTGTCTAATGACAACCTAAAGGATAACAGCATCAAATGATAATGTAATGTCCTGATCAGGAAGATGTTAGCCATGTTACTGAAAGCTAGAAACAGAGTCCTTAGTTCTGAGTTCCCTAGGGTTTTGAAATGCTATTTATCAATTGATTTCTTATTTCACTGAATGACCAATCTCCTAAGTATTCTAAGCTGTTCTCATCAAAAATATTTATAAATTGTGTGTTAAAGATAATACTAGGAATGCAAAAGTTCTGCTGAAGTGATGTGAATGATACCTTCAGGTAACACCAACCAGTTAGGTGTGGAGCTGAATCCTTTTTTATGCTAAAACTTTGTATAATCTTACAGAAAACGGCTGTGACTTGAGCAAACAATGAGCTGGTTGGTTTGCAAGTATTTTGCTCCAAAGCCAAACAGAACAATGCTGTATAACTGAGAAACCCAAACTGTCTGGTCTTCCTCAAATTAGATAGTGAAATGAAGTGCAAAAGTAAATGTTGCACATGGTGAGTGATACAGTGGCTTTATAGGAATTTGCAGATCTGTTCAACCGTCCCTCCGCTCTTAGTACGTGTTCTCATTTGCATGGTCATGCTGCCGCCTTGTGGGTGTTATTTGAGTGCTTGCAGCAAATGCGTGTGTTTTGCACATTACTATTAAATATTTAATGTATTGCACAATTGGTATAGATCAGCTTTTAGATTGAGGATGAGTATCATTTCTTGTTAACTTACCTGCAGATTCCTCTTAGGAAATCTTTAGCAATTTGATATGCTAAGTGTCCAGGAATGTTTATGCACAGAATTATCTTGTAAGTATTATTTTTCTAAACAAAAATGCAAGTGTTGAAAATTAAGTATCCTTGTCAGAGACTTCCTAAGTTTAGGTTTTTATTTTTTTTTTTTTTTTTTTTTTTTTTTTTTAATTTAATCTGATTTATGGTGGAAACCCTAGGACAGCGTAGATTCCCTGAAGGACAGTGTAGATTTAGAAACTGGTTAAGGAAGTTGAAATATCAGTCCTCTTTACCCATGTCTTCTACCTTCAAAGGCTAATAGTTTGTAGAAATTTGAAGTTAGTTCTTAAGGCATTTCAAGCAAATCATTTAGATACGTATGTAGTGTAATTTTTAACAAGGAAGGAAAAACTGCAGAATTCAAAGTCTCATATAAAAAACATTAAAGGGCAGACCGTTTTTGTGCAATCCAGTGAAATATGTCAGTGCCTTAATGTAAAGAGTTCATCTAAATACTTCTATCCAAATACTCACTTCAGATATTAATGTTTGCTTAGCATTTTGCAGTCCATTTTCCTCCTAAAGCAATTCCTGTATTTGCTTAATATTGTTCTACTTTACAACAGTAAACGGTATTTCTTTTACAACAATTGTATATTTACCTTGACATTCTTTATCCAGCATTTCTCTTTGTAGTTTTCTCAGAGCAATTTACATTGCTTATCCCCATTTTTTTCCTGTGATTTTTCTTCCCCTAGTATTTTTTCATACTCAGATTCCCTGTGAGCTACCGCATGCAAATTTTCTATATAAAATTCTTTCAATGTGGACTTAAATTCTGGTAAGATGGCAACTTGCTATCTTCATTTTAGGTTAGAATATTATATTTAAAAGATTTAAAAATTTAAAAGAAGCTAAGGAAACAAATAGCTCATCCTGTCCTTTTTTTCATACATGTTTTTGTTACTGTTTTGTCAGAGTCAATCCCCTCCAGCAAAAATATTTAGGTTTCTCTGATTGTTTATAGATGATGGTCTAATCTGACACTCCTAAACATAAATATAATGTTGAGCGCTGATAACACTGTTCAGTCATGAATTTCAAAAGTACTTAAAGGCTCCAGTTAAGTCTTCGGTGACCACTGTAAGATGTTTTGTTACTTTAATCCATCAGAGCCTATGTGAGCTAGTACCATATCTGGTAATGGAACTTGAAAGATTTTAATATTCAGTGTTATTTGCAAATGAATTTCAGGAGTACTGATCCATGAACTGATGTGACAGTTAGGCCCTCTGATTTGGAGTCATGTGTCCTGCAAGAGGTGCCATTGGAAAATTCATTTGTGGTGTTGGAAGGCTTTTAATTGATGGGATATACTGTCACCTATCTGGTTTTATCCATTTTATCTGTGAGGAATTTTGTAAACAATGGCAGTGATTACTAATCTTAGTTTAGAAAGAACAAATCTTTCCTTGAATTGCTCTCCTTGATTTCCTGGCCTGTGCTGATGTGCACGCTGCCTGTTTGACTAGAGCACTAGCCCTGCTGTCTCCCGAGACAGCCAGCTCCGGTGACAGTTTTAGGAAGAGCGGTCGGAGGCTGAATGATGGAGAGATTTAATAATCAGCTGGGTTCACACATGTTAAAGTAACGTGCAGTCATTGAGCAGGTCATCCTCTCAAGGGAATGCTAACTCTAGTGCTATAAAAAAAAATATCTACTGATAAATTTAAAACATATTGACTTTGTGTGGCATGCAATCAAAAGCTGGTGGCAATAACACAGCAGGGTTCTTAATCACTTTGCTGTTACAGTCGTGCTCCTGCTGTCATATTTCTAAAGGTTCATTTGTTAATTTGTTGAATGGAATGCTTAAGCAACTTGTACGGGTTCCAACTTCTTGTGTGCTAAGAGTATATGTAGTGTAATATTAGACTTCCAGATAGTATGGGGGAGATTTTTGAAAGAAATTACTACATGTGTTTACAACACAATGTGGAACATATTCTCGTGGGTCTCAAGAGGCTTTTAAATCTGTTTGGATTTTTAAAATTTGTTTGCTTATGGGAATGTAACACTTGTTAAACTCAACACGTGATGGGAAATATTGGGTAAATTAGTGTACATACCTCTTCAAGCCAAATATATTACTTGAGTGTTCTAGGAAGAGCAGTAGATTATAGCTGCCAGCAGTGCACCTGAATATTGGGATTTTGCAATTGTAAAACCTGACCACTGCCTACTATTATTTAGCTTGTTGATTTAGCTGGAGTGTTAAAACAGTGATGGCTGTTGAGTACAAGTTGTAGCAGTATTTGCCTGATGTAGTGCAGCTACAAAGGTGATCTCTTTGAGAGGAGAGGGAACATGAAATACTAAGTAAACAACCAAAAAAAGCATCTTTCTAATTCAGTAGCAGTATGGGTCATACAAGCAGAATTTTGTCAAGGTGAGCCCATTTGTCCTGGTATGAACTGGACTTTTCCTCTTCCCTCTCTGCTAAATAATCTTCCACAACAAAGATGTCATCTTATTTCAGCCACTATCATATGACGCTTTCATCCCCTTCAACAAAAGATTTTGAAAATTACTTAAGGGGAGATATATATATATTTTAATGGGAGGTAACACAAAAATTTATTTCTAGAATAAAGTTTGCTGCTGTCCCACAGAACCCCTCAGAGAAGGCCCTGAGGGTCTTGGTTGAGGTGAATTTAAACATGATTTAGCAGTGCAGCCTTGCGGCAGGAAAGGCTCATGCCATACTGGGTCGCGTTAGAAGGTCAAGGGAAATAATTATTATTCCCCTCTCCTTGGCAGTCCTGAGGCCACATCTGAAATACTGTGTTCATCTCCGGGTCCCGCAGGCCAACAGAGGTGATAACAAACCTGAGCCCAGCAAAGGGGAAGCTGAGAGGGTCAGGAAGGTGGAAGAGCTGGCGGAGGCGGCAAGGTTAAAGGAGTTGGGCTGCTTTAGCGTTCAAAAGAAAAGACTCAAGGGAAACCTAAATGCTATCTTCCACTCTCTGAAGGAGTGAGGGAGTCATGTAGAAGACAGATCCAGATGCTTTTCAGAGTAGCACAGTGAAAAGGCAAGAGACACCAGTGTGAAGTTGTAGGATGGGACATTCCAATTGGGTACAATTAAAAAAACAAAATTACTGTTTTGATGAAGTGCTGGTTTTTAAAGCATCACCAGTGCTTTGGATCAGGATTTTTTTAAAAGCATAGATAACTAAAAAAAGATGTCAGTTCTCAGAGTGCTGTAATGAAATATCATTGTGCTTCCTGTTCTGATCCATCTTTGTAGAAGGTAGAGTGAAAATTACATATACTTAGCTTTTTTAAAGCTAGAGAGAAAAAAAAAAAACTGATGTAGGAAAGTGAAAAGATAATCTGCAATTCAAGAAAGATTAATGCTACTAGAGAGTCCCTGAAAATTAAAATCCCAAATGTGTGCTTATGTCCGTGGCAGCAAAGGATATAAACTTGTATTTAACTTTTAACATTTGGGCTATGTAGAAGAAGAGACGTGCTGGTTTTAATTACTTTAACTGTGTAATATAAATTATATCTATTAAGCTGCATTTTGATCTAAAATATCACTATGTGATCTTAAGTGGTTAACTCAAAACTCTTTAGTGATACTTTTGTATTTTAATGTTGGCAGGTGGAAGTTTTCTCAGATTCTTGTCCTTGTACTACTAAAATTATCGCTAACTAAAGATGCATCCAGACCTGTCTCCTCATCTGCACACTGAAGAATGTAACCTAATTATCAGTCTGCTCAAGAAGTGTCACAAGGAGGTAAGGAGTTTTGAGCAGAGAAAAGAGTGGGTGGGTTGGGGAAACGATTGTCAGATAAATTAGTGAGAATATTATATGATCATAGAGAGAAAAGCCTCCTCTAGGCAGAACAGCCATGAAACGTAGCTGGTACGTTTTCACTGAAGAGGTATCTGACAACTGGAAAATTTTGCCAGTGATTTCATTAGGAAATAAAACATGCCTTAAAATTTCCTGTGCTACACCTTGGCAAGTACGGACCTATTTTAAGAATTGAAATCATTTCTGCACCTTTTAGTACTGCATGCACCTCAAAAAACAATTATAAAAGCAACTTCAAAGGCCACCTTTTTGTACGCTTGCAGCATTTCCATATTCCAGCTGCCCACTGGGCAGATGCTTCAGTCTGTTTATAAGCAGATGTGGTGAGGGGGATCCAGATGTGCAGGATGCCTTACATTCAGTGCTTGGAGAGCTAAGTGCCAATTACTGTTTGACTTCCATCTACTTAACAGGCACCTACAGGTATAAAATGCCAAACAGACTTCAGGCTTCTCAAGACTCTTCATTGCTTCAAGAAGATATATTCTTCATGTCACTTGTTTAAAAGTCTTTTTTTTTTTTTTTTTTTTTTTTGTTTGCTCTTGCTCATTTAGTACAGGTTGGCTCTTCTATTATGTTTTTTAAATGGAACTGTATTCTGAAGGTGCAAGTTTTTCTCCTTTGTGTAGTTTTAAGAAAGCTATTGAGAAGAGATAGAACCATTTAAGGTTACTTATGTTATCTTTTACTTTGTCCAGGCAACATGACTTCTTAGTGTATTACTGGATGGCTGTTTTCGTTTCTGGGACACTGAATTCAGTTTACCTTCCAGTTTT